CCGATTTACTCCCCTTCATTCTTCCCCTCCTATCTTTTTTTTTTCTTAACATATATTGCATTATTTGTTTCAGAAGTACAGATCTGTGATTCAACAGCCTAAGCAAAGACCATCTTAAGTGCATATTAACTTATAAGGCCACCTATCTCCAATGGAGCATATGGCTAATGAAAAACAAAGAGGCCAATTTAACAGGTACATGAGGTGTGAGACAAGCGAAGACTGAAATCAAGCACACTCACGCGAGGGTTAGGTGTAGTTCTGAGAGAGGAAAGTGGTAAAAGAATCCCATCATCAATCACCTGGTGTACCATGAACTGGGAACGCAAAACTCAAAAACCTGCACTCCGTGACACATATTCAAAATTATATAATTATAAAAGCCCCTCAATAAGGGTTAAATAAATTAATGAATGTATTTTCAAGGCAGCTGCAGAAAAAAAGAAAAAAAGAGGAAGCTCCCAACGAACTAAAACAGAAAGGTCTCCACTTGCTAAGTGAAAAAAGCATGGGACGGTACTGTGCTGTGGCTCGCGCATGCCTCGCACATGCATAAGAAATTCTAGACGGCTATAGTAGAAACTAATAAGTGTATCTGATTCAGAGGAGAAATGAGGAGAATGGAGCAGATAGTGTTAGAAGTGCAGTGATACTTTGTGCATCTTTTAATAGTGTTTTATTTCTGAATCATGTGAAGGTTCTATCAATTCAAAAATTAAATTAAGAAAAATCTTGAGTCTAACCACTCCACTCCCATGCTACACATAATAATTTAGTTCTAGCCATTGCATTCAATTAATGTTCATTTGAATTCTGTTAGTTTTAAAGTGTATTTTTGTATTTAAATCCCCAAATTTGTTTTGGTGTAAGAATAATGAGCATGAAGAATTGAACGTTTATGTGCACTTAGTGTTGTTCTAATAGAAAATTTAAGTTAACACTGGGAATCTCTACATTTTTCCCTTTCAAAAAAACCTATACATTATTGAAATTCAAAGTACTCCGATATAAAAGAAAAAAATCATTTCAGAGAAAAATCGCACTCATTAAGATGGTTCATATAACAACCTGAACATATTTCTTCGGACAGCTCCCTTCTACTTTGTTGGTACAGTTACGACTTAAACCCTAATCAAGACTGTTATGATGACAGCACGGCTTTAATCAAACTCTTAATTTTGTTGTAAGTTCCAGCATGGTGAATTTCTTCCATACCACTTACTAAAGGAGGCATTCTTGTTGAGCAAAAACAGAACTCTGTAACCAACACTGAAACTCCTCTGTCTGCTTCTCCTACCACTGCCAGGGCACAGCGAACATCTCGGGAGACCTTCCTGGGTGGTAAGCACAGGACTCTACCCATTTCATGCAGATTATGCAATTCGGTCATCAAGTTCAACAACCTTATAAAGACAGGATCTGTTATTACTTCCAGTTTGCGGGCAAAGGAATTCAACTGAACTCGCCCGAGACCCCTACGAAGTGGTAGAATCAAGATGTGGATATAGGCAGACGGACTCAAGCCCACACCTAACCCATTCCGTTACGTCATCTCCTACAACGAACCCCTCCTCCATGTTCCTCCCTCCTGGCTAACGTGTACGCTAACCATGGTTTCAAGGGGCTTCACGTGCTGATGCAGACACTCAAGTCAGTGTCTCCCGTTCAACTCTTGTCTGTATTTCAAAATATTTTCAATTACCGATTAGATAGCTCCACCATCCAAATATCCCCCAGGCACCTTATACTCAACATGCACCAAACACATCAGCTGACCCCCATCGACTAGCTCTTCCTCCTCTAGTCTCTCAAGTAGTGATATCACCATTCTTCTACCTTCACAAGCCAATACCCCAGGAATCATTCTCTTCCTCTTCTCATATCCTTCTCAGACATGTGATCAAGTCTACTAATTTTAATTTGTAATAACTCTTGAATCCATTTTTTCCTTTCAGTTCTTATTACCACTTCCTGATCTAGGCTGTCCTCACCTCTTGACAGGACTCCTACACTAAATCCTAACTGGACCTCTTGCTTCAGGTTTCTTATTACCCTACTGGTTGGGGTAGCATACTTGGGTAGCATACTCTCCAAGCTGATCCTCCCAAAACACACTGACCACAGAAATCCCCTGCTCAGTACCTTGTACTGGCTGCTATCATTCTACAGGGTACAGTCTAAGCCCTGTAGCAAAACAGTCAAGGTACACTACATTCCAGGGCCTGCCTACATCAACACTCATGAGAAACTACTCTGAGCCAGGTGCTGTTCTAGGTACTAAGGAAGTAGCAGTGGAGAAAAAGAAAAAAACAATCTCTGCCCAGAGATTTATTCCTGCTAACCCTTCTGCCTGGCCTGGCTCTCTTCTGTATCATCCTTCTATACTCAGCCTGAGTCTCACTGTCTCTGATGAGTGTCCCCCAAGCCTTTCTCCTTGCCTCAAGGCTGAACTGGGTACTATTCTCTAATGGTTACACTGTAAATAATCCTATTCAGCACTTAGCAAAAAAACTGAAACTAACTGCTTATGCAACATTTCCCACCAGACTTAAATCCCTTGAACTCAGGGACTGTGTCTTATTTGTATATCCACATTAATTAGCACAGAATATGGCACATACGATTGTTAGTTGAATAAATTAGTGAAATCTTTATTGAGAACCTACTATGAAGCAGAAAGCATGCTGCACACTTCACACAGTCTTATTTCATTCTATAATCCTAGGACGACAAACTGCTTATCTCATCATTAGCTGCTACTATTACTTTTTGTTGCTCTACAGTAAATATTGCCATCTCCGTTTTACAGGTGGGAAACTAAGTATAAGAGAAGTATCTTCAAAATGTCACACAGCTCATTAGCACATGAAAAGAGGCTCACCATCATTAGGCATCAGGAAAATACAAATCAAAACCACAATGAGATACCGCTTCATACCCTAGGAGGGTTATAATAAAACAAGTCAGATAATACCAAGTGCTGGTGGGAATGTAAAATGGTGTAGCCACTCTGGAAAACAGTCTGCAAGTTCCTTAAACAGCTGCACATGGAATTACTATATGATCCAGCATTTCCACCCCTAGCCACATACCGAAATGATAGCACGGCCACACAAAAACCTATAAATGACCATTTATAGCAGTGATTACTATTATTCATAATGGCCAAAAGGTGGAAACCCACATCAGCAATGGATGGAAATACAAAATGTGGTCTATTCACACAACGGACTCTTATTTGGCCTTAAAAAGGAATGCAGTACTGATTCGTGATGGACTGATGCACACTACAACATGATGAGCCTCAAAAACACTCTACGAAGTGAAAGAGGTCAGTGACAAAAGACCACATATCACGTAACTCCATGTATGTGAAATGCCCAGAATCAGCATTCTAGAGAGAGAGCCAAGTAGATCAGCGTTGTTTAGGGCTGGGGAATAGGAGAGTGAGAGCTAAGCGTTAAGGAGTTATGAGGTGATGAAAATGTTCTAAAATGAGCATGGAGATGGCTGTGGATACCTGCGCCCACACTAAAAATCACAGAGTTGGTACGATGTAAATTGGTGGACTGTATGCTATGTGAATTCTAGTTCAACAGAACTCCTGTAAGTACAGCCACATGGGCAGCAAAAGAGGAGCTGGAATTCAAGGCTGGGTCTAACTCCAAAGTCCATGTTGTTTCTGCAATTCCCACACTGCCAGACAAAGGCCAGGACAAAAACCCACAGCTGATCCCTTGCATTTCAGCTTTACAAATTTCAAATTACTGACATCTGACTGCGACTCGGCAGAAAGCTAGAAAAATTATAATCTTCAAAATCAAAATCCAAAATTGGTTGTTTCAAATAAAGCAACGGTACCTGAATCAAAACTGCCGAATGTGTCAAAGCATCATTCAACATCGTGAGCACATTCGACGTAGGAACTACCCCAGGATCATGACCCCAAGATGTTATGAGTAATCGATCATAACCCTAGGGGGAAGAATGAATAAAAGATGAATAAAACGGCATTTAGAGATGTAAAAAAAAAAAAAAAAATTTAAGAAGGTCACTATAATGCTGCTTACCAATTTCTACCCTCCTCAAAAAGAAAGAAAGAAAGAAACACGGTTCACACAACGTACCTGAAATATATCTGGCAATTTTCGAAGTCTTGTACCTTTGGACAGTAAAAGAGATGGTGGTCCTTGCCCAGTGATGTAGTAAATGTACAGTTTAAACCAGACAGAACTGACTTCTGGGATAGCTGGTCCAATATGCTGTGATCACAAAACGGGGAAGAGAAAGTTGTAATACTTAGCTAAAGCAGCCAAATCTCACAAGGGACCAAGAATGGTCTTACAAACAGCTACTGCCGCACATAAATGTTAATTGCTATTATCCTTATGAAAATAAATTTCAAATGCTCCATTCAAACAGTTTCAATTTTATCCTAGAACTGAGAAAGCACGTCTTATGCAATTGCGAGAATGGACTCTGGAGCAGAACACCAAGGTTTGAATCTTGGCTTTGTCCCCTAAGCCGTATCATCTCAAGAAGGTCACTTACACTCTCTGTGCCTCACTTTGCTCTTCTGTAATGTGGCCATAAAACATCTACCTTGTAAAGACACAAGCTTACAAGTTTGTTCAAAAAGGTTTAAAGCAGCACCTGTCATATAATAAGCTCTATTTCAAAGTGCTAGTTACTGTCATTAATCACATGTGATTTTTCACAAAAGGGGCTATCGAACCTTCCATCCATCTTACCATTCATTCAGTTCATGGAATCCTACTATGCCTAGAAGTCATGTTACAGAATGGGAGGAAGTATGTATATGTGGTTGCAGGGGGAGCACACGAAGAATAATTTTTTAAAATGTTGGTAAATGCCAACCTATAACCACACCTACTGAACAGAGGACAAATTTGGGGGTGTGAGAGGTATGCTCATTAAGGCAGCCAGAAGAGCACAGCAATAAAATCAACCTTGTACAAGGATCCCTTCCTTTCTTCTACACCATTAACCTTGCACATCTAGGAGACCAGGCAGGATGTAGCACTGAAGAACAGCAACATGATCCCCACTCTCTGAAAATGGTACAAGGCCACAATGTCCTTGCTAAGTATACAAATACACAACCGAATTTATTTTTAAAAAAGATGAGCTGTAATGTTCATAAGTCAATTCTGAGATACCTAGAGTTCTAGTTTTCAAGCACAATCTTTCCTTTCCGGTTTATTTAGCAAACAAAGACCCACCTCTAAGACATTTTCTTTTTCCTAATTAAATTGACTTTATTCCTGAAGGCAATCCAGGCTTCCTTCCTAGAGCATCTAAAACATTCTCTTTAAAATACTGCAGTCCTTCGGCTCAGGTCATGATCCCAGGGTCCTGGGATCGAGCCCCGCATCAGGCTCCCTGCTCAGCCAGGAGCCTGCTTCTCCCTCTCCCACTCCCCCTGCTTGTGTTCCCTCTCTAGCTATCTCTCTCTCTGTGTCAAATAAATAAATAAAATCTTTAAAAAAATAAAATAAATAAAATACAATACAATACTGCAGTCATCAATGTAGCGCCTGGGTGGCTCAGGAGATTTAGCGACTGACTCTTGGTTTCAGCTCAAGTCATGATCTCAGGATCCTGAGACTGAGCCCCATGTTAGGCTCCATGCTCAGTGCAGAGTCTGCTGGAGAATCTCTCTCTCCTTCTACCCCTCTCCCCACTCATACTCGCATTCTCTCTCAAATAAAATCTTTAAAAAATAATAAAATACTGCATTCATCAAGAAAATTTCAATGTGTCACAAGTCACTAGATGATATATGAGTAAAACACACCAATTCTGTATCACAAGCTGAGCATCTTACAACAGCATAAAATACAAACTTGCTTTCTGAGTTACTGATTCTAATATTTGGCATCTGCAAATTGAGAAATAACACAATCAAACCGGTAAACCTCTTCTTCAGGTCACCACAAGGAAGTGTGAAAGGACACCACTCGTAGTGCTCCAAGTGGCTCCTTACCTGAGGGGTGCAGCTGCTCACGGGCCTGATTTCATTGGTGAGAGGAGCCATGGACACGAGCAGTGTGTAATTTTTGTTTAGAACTCGGCTGCAAGTTGCAGGGTCCAAACCAAGAAGGCTCTCACAGCGCAACAGATCCAGAGGAAAACCTGAATTATGAGCAAGCATATAGGTAGGCTGAAAGACTGACAAGGTGGAACAGCAATGTCTAAGACAAATTATTGGTAACTGCCTTGGTGTTTAAATATTGTTTCAAAAGACAGAGTATCTCTATTAATAAAGTGCCAAATTCCCTCGGAAACCACGAAGACACTTTAAGATTTAAAGCTAACAGTCTTTATTCCCTGACCTAGGAAGATAATGGTCTACTGGTGTTCCTTTTACATTAGAAATATGTGTTTGCTCTACCTTACTTCCTCTCTATCCCCAGCCACTCCTGGGCAGTGGCATATTATGAAGACCTACATGCCACAAAAAAGCTGTGTCCTGGCCTCCCCCGATTTCTGCAAAGAGCTTCACGGCCAAGTTCAGAATCTGGCACAGGAACAAGAGTTCCTCATTAACAATATATGCCCAAGTCTGCAGGTCCATAAAGCAGGAACTCCCTCAGCATGTACCAGATTTTCAGTGTTCCCGTTCTTAACCCTTTCAGAAAATACCAGTCCTATTGGTTCTCTAAAAAAGATAGGTAAGGCTGAAACATCAGGAGCCCAAGTTAGCCCATCTCCCCCTCAAGCAAGAATGAATCAAAAAAAACATATGGCCTGCTGGAAGGGCCCAGAAGCACTGAGCACAACTAGCCCCAGGACTTTGGTCTTTAATACCATATTCTAGTAAAAGAAACCAGGCTCCTAGGAGAAGAGGCTGATTCCAAGACTGAGACAGAAGTACAAGAGATGACTGTTTTGCCAGAAAGTAAAGAACTTCTCCAAAAGTAAGGATTTTTTTAAAAGATGGAGGCATGGCACAAGGAAACTGGAGACAGCTTGAAGGGAATCCTACTGGCAAAATCGGAGACAAGTATAGCACACAAAAAATTAAGGGAGAGCAGTGACTAATTATAAGCCACTGAAAAAAACAGGAATTCATCAATCCATACTGAGAATATAAAAGAATGCCTAGTCCCGACTGTTACTGAAAGAACTGGAGTTGGAAAAAATGATCAATTTACAACCATCACAGTAAAGAATGGTTCAGGCAGGACCACCACTGGATGTTCCATCTGGGGGGAGAGATTGATGAGGAATAGAGTATGTGCATGGTCTGAAAGTATCTGCCCACAGATTACTTAGTCACTGCAGGTGGGGAGAATATTTAACTATATAGTAGAAAAATCAAAAACACATTAACTGGGTGATCAAAACTAACATCACAACGGGGGACAGATGGAAATCACATGCCTCCAAATGTCATACCCTTAGAAAAACATGACGTTACTTAGGTAATACTCTGGACTTGAGTGCATAACCCGAACCTAATCACAACAAAACATCACACATACCCAACGTGAGAAACTTTCTAGTAAAACCAACAAAAAGGGACAATATTCTTAAAAAATAAGAATGTCATAAAGGACAAAAAAAGCTTACAGATTTGCTCCAGAATAACGGAGACATGACAATTTAATGTAGTATCAGATCTTAAACTAGATCCTGCACTTGAGGGGGAAAAAATGCTATTAAGGACATTACTAGGTCAACTAATAAACTGGAATACGAATGGCAGACTACTTTTTCAATATTAAATCTTCCGAAGTTGATGTCAGGGAATAGCCCTATTCTTAAGAAATGTATCCTGAACAGTTTTGTGGAGAAAGACCATGATACGCAACTTACTCCCAAATTCTGGGTTAAAAGTAATTATACTATTCTTAAATTCTTAAAATTTTTTTTGTAAATTTAAAATATTTCCAAATAAAATGTTGATAACGGAGGAGAGAGAGTCATACAGACGTCAGGAAGAGCTTCTGTTACACACAGCCGGCCAACCAGGTGGGACAGGAGAACGAGACGCGGCTGTAAGACAGGTCTGGCTGGAGCCAGATATGAGGTTCATTTTGAAGTAAAATGAGAGTTGAGCAGGTGGCTTAGGAAAAGGAGAGAAGGGGAAAAATTCTATAAAGACTAGAGAAAGGGCGCCTGGGTGGCTCAGTCGGTTAAGTGTCTACCTTCAGCTCAGGTCATGATCCCATGGTCCTGGGACTGAGCCCCGTGTCAGGCTCCCTGCTCTGCAGGGAGCCTGCTTCTCCCTCTGCCCCTCACCCTGCTCATGCACAATCTCTCTCTCGAATAAATAAATAAAATCTTTAAAAAAAAAAAAAAGACTAGAGAAATTTATGCTTGATCATATACAACAAATCAAGAACAAATTTAATAAAACTGAGAAATCACAACCATGAGTGAAAAAATGTCAGATAAAAAAAATCTTAGTGAGAAATGAAAGATCTAACTGGTACCAAAAACAGTCAACTATCAAACCAACCTCAAAAGTTAGAATAATACTTAACTACTTTCATACAGATAAGGTTGAGGTTTTTCGTTCAACTTTTAACTTTTTGGTACATAGACTATTCATGGTGAAAAACAAAGTTTAGTCCAGACTACTAAGCAATAGATTGCTTATGAATGAATCAATAAAAAGTCTAAGGTTCAAGAGAAGATAATAAAAAGGGATAGAGCAAAAAAAAAAATTTATTTTCAAGAAACATGGATTTAAGTCCCATCTCTTCCACTGACTAATCATATAGGCCATTATGACTAAATGGGCAGGAGACCTGACCAAGACAAACTTCGATTTCTTTACGTATAAAATGAGTTACACTTGCCTGGTCCTAGCACTAACATTCTTGGACGCCATGATGGGCAGGAAAGAATAGCATATTTCAAGACGTCTCTAACAGAGTATTTCAAATATTCTAACCCATTATCTCCCAAAGTCACTAAAAGTCCCAGTAATTTCAGAATTTTTACATACAAAGACATCTTCAAGATTGTGTTGCTCATTGCTTAGGTCACATGATCTACTCGGTAGCCAACGAATGGTTACTATTATCGAATGCTTATGAATAAGTGGTTTGGCCTCTTGGCACTTGCTGACTTAATATTCTCAGTTGTTAACTACTTATGAATAATCTCAGAAAGAGCCCCAGCATGGAATCAGTCCTAATTCTGCTAAAGTAAGACTCTGACCCTGATATGCTAGGGCTGAAGAAGCCAGTCACGAGAAACTGAGTGTGTCCAGCTTCACTCAGCTCAACTACCCAGTTGCCCTCACCTCTGCGACCACTTCTGTGAAGTGACAACTGATTCCATCCTTAAATGTTTAAATTGGGCTGAAAAGAAAGCCAGATGCTGGTGAAAGAATTAGAATGAAAATGGATATGACTCAGAAACCAATGGTTCTTGGCCAGAAAAATAGAACTTTTAAGTAAATGAAAGAATGAGTGACATTCAATGTTCTCATGGTGCTAAGAATTCACGGAGTTGCAAGATGCAGCTCTTGTGAATGAGTGAGGACTGGAGCCAAACGCTCTTCCCTGGTGCCCAAACCATGTCATCTTTTTAAAAACATGCATTCCTGGGTGGCACTGCCCTACTCAGGACCTACCGTCCATTGAGCCAGAGTTTGGGAACCACCCCCCCGATCTATCCCACACCCAAGAGTGCACACCAGGGCAAGAGCCACATTAGGGTTCATCACAGATTAAAACTGCCACTGTCTTCTTTCTTTTACTCTTTAAAAAGTTTCTCTGTTCTCTTTTTTTTAAAGTAAAATACTTCAGTAAATATTACAACAGCATTTCAATCAGAAGCTCCTGCTTATTCTTTTTATACAATGTAATCTTTCATTCAGGAAATGTCATGCTTCCTAAATCAACTAAATTTTGGCTTTGTTCACCCCTCAAACTGAGGCCTGTTCTAAATGCCATCCAGCCACTTAAACAAGTTAACACTCCAACCATTTTTGTAGGTACTAAGCAGATTGAGATACTACAAATGTCAGTGGCACGTAAGAAAGGAGAAAAAGTAAAATAAGAAAGAGTTGACAATCGGGTGCCTGGGCGGCTCAGTCGTTAAGCGTCTGCCTTCGGCTCAGGTCATGGTCCCAGGTCCTGGGATCCAGCCCTGCATCGGGCTCCCTGCTCAGCAGGAAGCCTG